AAAAGGAAACTTCATCTGTAACAAACCTTCCTATTTATAAAACAGAAAGTGCAAGTATTATTACTAACTGAAAAGAAATAATTTCATTTTTCTTACTTTTCCTGATTTTGATATTTTTTTCTTGTGCGTTATCTTATGAAAATGGTTACCATCCAGTGAGTCTACAGAGGGTTCTTATCTGTCTTGAAATCATTCTCTTTCTCTCTCTCTCTCTCTCACTCGCATCATATTATATAAGCTTACACAGTCACTTCACAATTTTCACAACAAACATTAGATTCCACTTTATATGAATTGAGCACTCGTTTTACAATAAAGTAAAAAAAAATGAGAATTTCTCATCATGTTGTGCTCTCTGTTCTTGTCATATATCTTGTGTCATGTCTTCTTGGCTCATCATTAGCAGCAAAGCCCTGCAGTGAGGATGACAAGGACGGCAATAATGGTTGTTTCCGGTCTAGGGTTTTGGAGGCGCAACGAGCTGATCTAGTGAAGGAGCTTCCGGGACAACCTCCGGTGAAATTCCGGCAATACGCTGGTTATGTGACGGTCAATGAGACACATGGAAGAGCATTGTTCTATTGGTTCTTTGAAGCCACTCATAATCCAAACAAAAAACCTCTTCTTCTTTGGCTCAATGGAGGTAAATTAAACTAACTCACATCCACTCATTTTTTTGGTTCTTTCTACATGCGTCTCGGTCTCACACGGTTATATTACTAAATTCTTGCTGTAAAAAAGTTGTGGTTGAAGGAGAGTTTTATTATTAAAAACCCAAAAAGGTAAAAATAATTATTTTTGACCAAAAAAAAGAAAAAAGGTAAAATAATTTTTAATTTTGTATTATCATGCTTCTTGTCCATTTCATCTACTTGCACGCTTTACATTTAAATTCTGATTTTGAATTTAGAAACTTTCAAACCTCTTTTTCGTGGTAATGAGTGTCCTGGACCAGACTAAAACCCCACCCACAAAAGTAAACATGCTAAACGCATCTAACCATCACTGCATTGTATTTTGAAATTGAAAGAAAATTATGTATTGGGTGATTAGCTTGATTACTTATTGTTTTGGATGAAGGGAGAACATATACATGTGTATTGTATTATTTGTAAATAGAATAATATGACTTAGGTAAACTGAATGTGGACTAAAACATGATGGTAATTAAATAAATAAGAATGTATGTACTGTCAATGTGGTCCTTTAAATTTGTATGCATGGAGACAAAAGGTAACTGACAGAGAATATTAGGTGAAGCTTCTTAATAGTAAGATTAGTCACGATGTCAAATCAATGAATCATATGTGTGGTTAATTATCACCATCATGATGAGTATTGGTTGTGTTGGTTAAACTTTAATTTGGAAGCTTGCAATGATTCCACATGCTTGTTAGTTGTTACGTGATCCAGTATGATACAATGATATATACTCTTTATACACTTTTAGTCTCATTTGCTAGTATAAAATAATATTTGGTTAAATATATAGATATCAATTTATACATGGAATACGAAAGTGTTTTTTTTAAGTGTTTATATAACAAAATTTTGTTAGTCTTTTGTTTACCATAATATGTTTTATAAATACTTTGGTGAAAGAACGTTAGACAATTAGCATTGATATTTTGGACTTTTTGGAATTTGTTTTATCCTTGTGACTCTCTTATATAACTATATTGGATTCGTATGCATGTGAATGTGATGAATATAAAATTCAATTCGACGTTATATACACCTCCATAGATTTAGGCTTTTCTAGGCTCCCGTGGGCTCATCAGCGCCCTTTACTTTAATATTAAGGCACAGTAGTTATTGACACAAAAGTTATGCATCTACTATATTTTCATTACCTATCAAGAAAAGTCAATTACATGAAACTTATATTGTCCATTTCGTTATTATTCGAAACACTACACATGGTCCATGCACGTATGCACGCCCTAAAAGCTCCTCAATATTTTGTATTTTTATGTTTATTATTTACAAGAGACAAACCCCCTTAGATGGACCCGACGCAATAATAGTGAACAGAAAGTAATATAAAGTGAAAGACTAGGCCAAGATAGCTTAATTTTTAATAGTTAAAAAATCTAAAATAGTAATAGTTATCAAAATGTTAATAGTAAAAATGTAACAGGACCGGGATGTTCATCGGTTGGGTTTGGAGCATCAGAAGAACTTGGACCATTCTTTCCTCAAAACTCAACTCAACCAAATCTCAAGCTAAACCCATACAGCTGGAACAAAGGTATAGATATTCATAACTTTCTCAATATATATTAAACTCTATAGTATTAAGGATTATAATTAACTTTTGAAATATAATATTAGCGGCGAATTTATTGTTCTTGGAATCGCCGGTGGGAGTTGGATTCTCCTACTCTAACACAAGCCGTGATATAAGTCAACTCGGGGACACAGTCACAGGTTCAATTAAACTATATAATATGTACTGTATTTACTAATGCAAAATTGTAACATTTATGAAGTAAATTAAAATTATGTATAATTTAACCAGCTAGTGACTCGTACAACTTCCTCGTCAACTGGTTCAAGAGATTCCCTCAGTACAAGTCTCGCGACTTTTACATCGCCGGAGAAAGCTATGCCGGTAAGTTAAAAAAAAAGCTATGCCGGTAAATATTGTATAAGTGATTAAAACAAATAAAAATCAGTAATATTATTTTTTTTGTTATGAACGTATGTTTGCATGAAATTAATTAGGCCATTACGTTCCACAACTTTCGGAGCTCATCTACAACCAAAACAAGATTGCACCCAAGAAAGATTACATTAACCTCAAGGGTCTAATGGTAAAGATATTTTCTCTAAACAATCAGTAATCACTAACTACAGTTTACTATTTTGAATAAGGTCATAATAACGTTGACTTTTATATATATAACAGATCGGAAATGCATTGTTGGACGATGAGACAGATCAAAAGGGGATGATAGATTACGCATACGACCACGCGGTGATATCAGATGGATTATACCAGAGAGTGAATGAACATTGTGATTTCAAATTAGAGCACGTGTCCAAGGAATGTGATGGAGCATTAGATGAGTATTTTGAAGTGTACAAGATCCTTGACATGTACAGTCTATATTCTCCAAGGTGTGTTCCTACCAATGAGAACTCATCCATTTCACATTCTCTCGCCGGAAACCGCCACCTTCCTGCTGCCCGTGGCCTCTTTCGACCCCGTCTCGCCTCCAATAATGTAAGTATATATGTATTTTTTGTTCACTTATAATGTTTTATTTTGTAACGGATATGTGTGGACCGGTTACATATATAATTGAATGATATATAGGAGGGATGGCGGAAGATGGCGGCCGGGTATGATCCATGTGCATCGGAGTATACAGAAAAGTATATGAATAGGAGAGACGTTCAAGAAGCACTTCATGCCAATGTCACCAACATCCCTTACCCTTGGACTCATTGCAGGTATAATCATGATGTTCAAACTTGTTTGTGGTCAATGCTCAAAAAATCGATAGGCAGTAAATACATGTTTTATAGAGAATTAGTCTCTACACGGACGGTTTGGGGTAGACTGATTTTTAGAACATTGTCTCTGGTTATAACTTATAAGCTTAACGTTCAGTTTTCATATTTTTCTTTTATGAAATAATATGGAAACCGTATATAGTTATAGTTATATGAATATTTTTTATTTATCCTTCTTCGGATATTTTGTGTTTGATCTTATAAACCAATGCATGGTTATAACTATATGTGCAGCGATCATATCTCGTTTTGGTCAGACGCTCCTGCTTCCATGCTTCCTACTTTAAGAACACTTGTTTCAGCCGGATTACGCGTATGGGTTTTCAGGTACATAACACTTGCTCCTTAATATTGGTTCTTTATTTATTACTCCCTCTGTTTCAAAATATTGCATATAATATTGAATATTTTTTGTTTCAAAATGATCAGTTTTTTTTACATTTTCAATACATTAATTAATGGTGATTTTTTATTTTTAAAATGTTTATTAAAATTATATTGGTTAAAAGTTACAGGGAATAGTTAGTTACGAAAAAAGAAAAAATAATGTATTGATAATCAAAATTTCATAATTTTTTTTAATATATGTGAAATTTTTAAAACAATGAACATATTTTTAAACATGAGTAGTGTTTAAGGAAAAGTGGCAATAACCTATTCAATTTTGGTGGTGACATAGTGGAGATACAGATGGAAGAATCCCAGTGACTGCAACAAGATACTCATTAAAGAAGCTTGGTCTTAAGACAGTCCAAGACTGGACACCTTGGTACACAAACAAACAACAGGTCGGCGGTTGGACGGTGGAGTACGACGGGCTAATGTTTGTTACGGTGAGAGGAGCAGGACACCAAGTTCCTACATTTAAACCTAGAGAGGCACTTCAGCTTGTTTACCATTTTCTTGCTAACAAGAAACTTCCTACGTATCCCTTTTGATTATTTCACTACTACTCCACAGATTATTGATCATCTCTCTATAATTGTTCAGAAAATTAATAAACAGATTTAAGCATACACACATGCTATTAGACATGTCACATGTATAATTGTCCAGGAATTCTTATTTTAAAAATGATTCTTTCACAACTATCTAATTTATCTACAAAAAATGCAAAAAAAA